AAATAGTTTACATAGCTTTATATGTATCAGTTCATGTACCTCTATACAATGTGTTTAGGCTAACAATACAGTTTCTAGATTTTTTAAAATGATTTTTAAGGACAAACTGCTACATAATTATGAAAGTTCAGTCGTGTGTGAAATAAAGGAAGAGAACTTATCACAAGAAATTAAGTATGTGAAAACATTCATCCCGCATGTTGTTGAACGCGGTAGTAGCCAGCTACAACATGGAGATCGCGCCTCATATTCCTGATCGTGAGACAAACGAACCCCTGGTTAAGATATGCTGCTCTAGGTTAATATTGAAAACGATATGACATTTATCGAATCATGGCGCTAGTGCATCCCTACCCATCTAGATTGTGACATTTCTTGCTGTTAATTTTGTTTCCTCATTCGCCTCATATGTATCCAAATTTAAGGCATCGCTGAGGAATCCTAGAAGGGTGAAATAGCTGTACGATTCAGTTTAATTCACTACTCTGTAAAGTTGGAAAACAAAATTATGTGTTTCGTTTAAGGGTGGCCTACAATCTGTACTAACAGCGGTTATAAGTAAATCGTTCGTAATGTTTAAAATTGTACACTCTGCACGAGATCGCTGATATATAAACTGGCTCGCTTTCGTTGAGAGAAGATATAGATAACACTATATATATATACTTACGTAGGTGGTTTAATTTGGAACGTCTAAAAATACATCTGATGAAACAAGTGGGACAATACTAAAATGAATTTAACCGTTTCACATAGTTTTGTGTAATTGGGCTACATTGTCAAAGAAACGAATGAATATGCAAAAGTAATTATAACCACAATTAATAACACGGACTGATATCGACATGTCCACATAAAACTCGATCATAATGAGGTTAGAGGAAGTGACGTAGGTGTTGTAGATTAATTATTAGTTGTAGAAAAGAAACCGAAATCTGTATCATTACAGAATAGAACATATATATTATGAACACATCCTCTCTGCGGACTGGGGATATGATTTTTATCGGTGGCGATTCCCATGAGCCATCGAGAACCGTTTGTAAGATAAAACCTAACAGAGGAAAGCGTTGACAAACCGTCAAGTGCAATCCCTGCCGTTCTGATATAGAGGATAGATAATTAAAATAAAAAGGATAAAAATCTTCACAGGGATGCCCACGTCAACACCCTTTTGAATTTGTTCTATATGTTTCTGCTTACAACATTATCACCTTAATTGACGTCATATGACCTCAGCCCACTGTAACACCATATTGTATTTTCCCCCAAAACAGCCCATCTCGAATCAGATTTATATTAACATGTCGCAGTCTGAATGCCAATAGCTTTCTAACAAATACATTATACACAGCAGGGATTACACTCCACAGTTTGGTCTACAGCTTCCTTTAAATATCTTTTTTGTGTGCTTAGTGGGCAAAAGGCTAAGAATATCGACTTAATGTATAGGAATATAGGTAAGCGTGTTTTACTTGTAGGGTGTAATTTAGAGAGTTTATAAATACAGCTGATGAAACACGAGACTACGCTGACAGTTCACTCTGTAACATTCCCGTTTTCAATCATCAAGTGACGAATCTAAAAATTCATTTCTTGTTAAAGCATTAGTTCTAGCTAAAGAAAAAAACATAAAGCGTGTTACAGCACTAATCCAACGAAAAACGAGTAATGTAGGTTTAGTTCAACGCTTAGAAGGAGCAGATATTTGTCTTAACCTACTTTTAAATTTAAAAAAATCTTCAGTTTCTAGGCCTAATGAGTGTCGAATCCATTGGCGCGACAACTTGTCAATTATTTCCTCCGTATTTCTACTTCGTTAAATAATTGCTAGCGTAAGGTGCCTTTTTTGTACTAATGAATACATACTTTAGTTTTAAAGAGTGTTCTTCCGGTATTTGTTTGAATAAAAACATTAGAAAAAATGATTAAATGTTATTGAATCCAAGTAATACAAAAAAGAAAATGTCATTTTTGCATTTTAAAAGTTAAACTAGCTGCCATAACAAGGTTTTCCTGTGGCACAGAAATGTTACAGAGAGATAAACAATTCCCTATGCAGAAACACGTGACTTGTTTCTATTACTTTGGAGATGTATTAATATCAAATACATCACACTTCCCATTTCTGAGGGCAGGTGGTTCACACCATATCTTCATTAAAACTCTGTCCGTCTTCGTCAATTAGGAGTCTGAAACTAATGACGGAGGGAGTTCAAAATACTCACAGCATTGATTGTGGTTGTAACGTTGGAGTATCCATTTATCATTTCTTATCTTATTTTTATTTAGAGAGTGGACTATTGTAGGGATAAAAAACATAATGACATGATAATTTGATAAGAGATATTTAAAAGATTTCTTCATTGATGTTCATTAGACAAAATTTTGCCTGTCAACATAAACACACAACGAGTGCAACCACGGTCTTGAATAAAACATGGGTCTGCTTTCATGAATATATTTGCGTGAATTATGGAATTTATCTCTCTGGGACTTCACAAAGTTATTGTTCATTTGGTCGGGTATTTTTTTTATTGACTTATAATTGTTGTTTCATTTCAAAATGAAATGATAATAAATTTCACACAAAATGAGCTTATATACATAGTACATACTATTTATTGATAGTTTAGTACAATGAATTAGTCAATACATGTATTTGTCTCTATCGGGCATCACATTTATTACTTCGAAATGACAAGTCATTCACTTGGTAGCTTGATATATCATGACAGTATAAAAACATTACGACAACCGAATCACACTTGTTTAAAACGACCCCCTGTCTATAGCGACCGGTTTCTACCGAGCACCTGGGCGGTCGATTGACATTAAATGACAATGGAAACTAACAAAGAACCCAATATACAACCAGGATTAGATAAAACTATCGATACCCTTGACATCCTTGTCATTTCATTTATATCGGTTTATAAACTAGTATTGGAAGAAGCGTCAAATCAATCGACAAATATGTCTGACTGCTTGTACACGAATCTACACTTAGACTGGCTGTGTGTCCAATAGGCGTGGTAAGCTTTTTCAGTGTATTTTCCCTAGCGTGTGTAATGATAGTATGCTCTGCTTTGTGTGTTCTTACATTTTGACATGTGATAATGTGACAACTTATTATATAATGTGGCTGTATACCTTCTGTCTTTCGTGTCGGTCAATATCTGTTTTCTTCTGGTTAATACGCATATTAACCAAGTAAAAAGTCCATAATTGTATAATATAACAGAATCCAAGATTCAATTTTTTTCTATCATACAGCGAATGTATCGTTGGGAAGGACACTTTACCCGCATTGATCTGCGGTGGGTCTCTCGTGTGGTATTCAGTGAGGTAGCCGCCTCAAAATAACCCCGACTGTTCACGGATCGATAAACCTCAAAATGAACCTGGCTGTTCACGGGTCGATAAACCTAACAAACAAATTATAGCACCAAGGGAGTTTTCAGTTAAAAATGAAATTCATACTTCGTGATTACAGGGGTTAGATCTGAGTGAGAACACTACTGCTGGTCCGTCATTTAAACAAAAGAATTATAGATAAAGATTCAAATACATCAGCACTGCTTTGTGCTTTAGCCAATATCATCATTATTGCAGAACGGTTCCCTTACATCATTTTTGTGTTTATATTTATTTGACAACATTATGATAACTTGATAATACTCGAATGTAAAATGTTCTCAGTTCCATTCTAAAGTAAGATAAATGTAACGTATTTATTGATATAATCGTAGTCTACAGCCTTGTACATATATATACAAGTAAATCCTACACACCGTGTAATTGATGTTGATATCAATATAATGCCACACTTGCAGGAATAGTTATTCTTTTTGTTATATACCCAACAGGTTCTGATATAGTAACTCACAAGACAAACAAATTGTGACCTGCACTTGTGCTAGACATTATAAAACCTTCATTTCGAACATGCCAAACTGCTTTCGTTACAAACGTTATTTAAAATGAGCTCAATAATTTCTTTTTCCATACTTCAATTGGAGACTGTTGATATCACTGATGTCTGTACATATATTCACAAGCGATCTTATTTTTTGATGCACTGTATCTGAATATAACCTTACGGAGGATATTTGTAAATATTCATTTATTAAGCATAACGAGAGATATCCATAAATATCTTAATTTGTTCAGGACGGTTCTGAGTGTTCTTCTGTATGGTTTAAATTCAAAATTTATCATTAAACATTAACTTATGAACGGCGGTTGAAATTCGAAAAATCGGAAGTTTTTGATACAACAAGGACTTAATCTTATGCAATTTCCATAGTATCGTGATATATGAAAAACACAAAACAACACTTTGAAGTATAGTACAAACACGTCCTTGTTTGTTCCGCCTTTAAATAATCTCATAAATTCAGTCTTGATAAATTTCACATTGACATTTCTTAACACCTTTAGCAAAGGCCAGTGGTCATTTTTCTGTGCTGGCCGCTGTCCACTAGTTAATGATATGGCCGCAAGAAAACAATATGTAATAAATCCCCTTCGAACTATCAAAACTTTGTATTCCAATTGTGGGTTGGTCACTTCAGGAAATGCTGACTTTTTACTCTAAAAAGGGAAATTGCACATTGATGTATATATAGACCTCGGCGACATTTTACATAAGTAGGGTATTGAATCATTATTTCAGAAAATATCTTATCCTAATGGAGTACTTCAGAAATGACGTAACCAATGTCACTTTCGATAACTTCACCAGAGCGCATGAGTGATATAATCTAGGACCCATGTGTCACACACGTACGCTGTTTACAACTCGACATATGGGCGTGACACTGTTTGATTGGCGTAAGATCGCCCCGAACAGTCGTTTGTAACAGACGATTTGATTAGTCGACAGATTGGGTCACTAATAGATTCGACCAATCAAATCTCCGTGGTTTACCCGATGATTCAAACGCAAGGTAAACAAACCTTGTCCCGCTTGCCTCAACGTGCGCTTGGCAAAACAAAATTTGACAGCCAGGGTGCAGGTTGGCAGCTCCCACCTTAGATTTTATTTTAATTCAAATATTTAGTTATTGTGTTGACATGGCATTTAACATATCTCAACTCATTCAAGCTGCTGAGTTCCTAGATAGAAGGGAAAGAGGTAATTTTGATTTTATACACATTTTTTTCTGTATCGTTTCCTATGCCACGTTGCAACGGCATGACTTTGACAGCTGAGAAATCTGCGTCAGTGATCAACTTTCTACTTTGATTTACAGAAGCTGAACATGGCTACGCATCTACGGCCCCGATGCCTGAATATTTGAGCAAGAAAAAGTCCAAACCCAAGAAATCTCAGGGAAATAGGTATGTTTAATGCTGTTTTGTTGATTATTTTGTTTTCACGTGTCGCTTCGTGATGTCGGCCATATTGGAATCAGCTGATCAACAGTGGTTTGTTGATGTTTTTCGTTCATTGAATATTCTGCCAGTTTCTGACATTGTTAAGATATTTTTTCATATTCTGATGGAATGATCTTTTCTCTACACTTCTTGTCCATTATTTTGTGTCGATCGCGTTTGGATTAGTTCCGTCAGAAAATTTTCTCGGCTCTGCCGCGGCAGGTTGGTTGACCAGAAAAATGTCCGCCATTTTGAAAGAATCATTCTGGAAACAAAACAAAGGAAGATCTGTTTGGATTTTGCATACTATCTGGATGTTTGCAACAAGTGCATGATACATTTCGTTTTATAAACATTTCTTTGATGGAATTGAGCCTGTTTTGGAAAGGATGCATCGTTTTATCTTAAATTTTTCTGCAGCGTAGGTTGACACCCCTTCGTACAAGTTTTTATATCTCGTTGTCCAGATGGGGGTTGATCAATTTAAAAAAAAAGTGCTTCAATACTCTTCAGGACAAGAGATTAACTAGCTCGGACATAAAGTACCGTTGCCTCTGCAAGTTCAATTATTAAGAATTTGATCTGTGCTCAAATCTCGGTGTGTTGCATTGTTTCGACTTGGCGGGCAAATTTTCTGTTATTTTTTAGAGGGAAATTTATCAGTTAGGCCTAGGCTGTGAATTGTTCAGTATTTGTTGTCTTGTCAATATTTGGAAAGTCTCGACACATATTTCATTCATTAAAGATTCGGACATAGTGTATATGTCATCGGATCCTTGGCTGTATAAATGTACGTACACGTGGAAACGGCACGACTTTCTGAATTCATGCCAAAAGACATGTCTACTCTTGGATACCTTTGTATAATGCTGGAGCTCTTTGTTTCAGTACTGAGTAAAGTATTTCTATAAGACTGTTACTGTTAAAATATAAGAATACAAGTATTGTTACACGAATAAAAAAAAACCGCACATTTCCTTCAAGTTACGTTTAAGGAGTGTAATCATTTTGTAAACAAACAACTTGCATAGAAAACCAAAATGTGTCAAGTTCATATTTGTTTCTTCCAGATCTACCCACAACGAGTTAGAGAAAAACAGGTAAGTTAGTTTTCATATCATGATAAGTGGAACCTTATTTTCTTTTGAATAAAATGACCTTTATCAGTTTAAGTTCATTACCAATAGCGGAGATTATTGATTTTTTTACGTGAATGTACAGGATGAAACAGCACCGTGTAATGGGTTCTGGAGGAGGACCCAATCACAACAAAGCGGATGATCGATTCTTAACGGGACGCTCGCATACACTGTGGCTAAAGTGATTTATTCGATAATTTCTTGTGGAAGTTGTAGATATGTCTCCATACTGTTCCATTATGTGAGGGGGCTTGGGCGGCCATGATTGTGTACATGTATATACAGTGTGGCGAGTAGTGTGTATATATATATTGTGTATCTACGATAGTCACATGACAGATGTAACACAGTGCTATGTGTGTGTAATAAGTTTAGCCTTTGAACTTGACCTCGATCAGCAAGTGGGCGTGTTACCAGGAATGTGTTTATTTTCAACACACCAGCCAGTCGCACTGGGGCTTGCAGAAGATTGGAGCAAGGCTATCAGTGAATAGGCCTTCAGCTCTGATAGTGCTATTAGGCACCAGGGCACAAATAGCTATCCCGATGAACTGCATCAGGAAATGTAAACAACTTACGGAATAATGTGGAGAGAAAAAAATATAGAGCAGAAAAACTTTAGGGCTATGATGCATTGTTTTTTGCATCATATTACTGGAACATAATAAAAACATATATCTTCCTTACATTGATGGAGTATTTTTTGGAGGTTAATTCACTTTCATTTTTATTTCTGGAATTTGTGTCTCTGTTCAGGAAATAAATAAAACAAATATTAATATGATTTGACATAATGGTAGTGAGCATGGGAAATTATTTCATGTTACAGGAGGGCACAATTACGTTACTGCCTTGAAAAGTTAAAAGATGTGGTTCCAGTAGGATCTGATACTTCACGTCATACAACATTGGGACTCTTAACAAAAACAAAATGTTTTATTAGGGTAAGTACAGTTAATTATACTTTTGAAAAGTAGACATTTATTAAAATATATAAAAGAGCATGTACTAATCTTAGTTTAAAGATTATTTTTGTATACTCATAAGATTTCATATATTTAAATTTTCTTATACATATTTAGAATATAACTTTTAAACATTAAAGGAAAGAATACCTTCAATATATTAATTGCATCTTAGACTGGAGAAAGTGTGTTGAATGGTAAATTGGAAGTGTTGGTTTAAAAAAAATGTGTGGAAAGGATAGCGTTAGGGTTAGTTAGTGACAATTGGTTTTTAGTACTGGTCAGTTTTATTTAAATATGTAAATGAAATGTATAGTATTTCAAGTCCAAATGCATCTTTTGATCTTCAAGAAGTTTTAAAAGTGCAACACAACATGAGTTATCTCCCTTCGATTTGTCACATCCATAAAGTCCCCTTACTTATTGGATCACTTTTTATTTAGAATTTAGAAGATGGTGAAAGGAAAAAATTAAATGCAAAAGAACAATTAAAGAGAGAAAAGAGGTTCTTGCAAAGACGTTTAGAGGCGTTGTTGGAAGGCCAGTACAGGGTTAGACAGGAAAGAAGTATCAGTGAATGCAGCACATCTACAAATTCAACTACCTCTTCTACTTCCGAGTCAGGTAGGTTGTAAATCTTGTATGAAATACACTAAATTTTATGGCTCAAGGCATGTTTTTTTGTTTTTATAAATCCTTGTCTTTTGAAGTGCAAATGAATAGTTGAGTGTTCTGTTTAACAGTTTCTTGTGTTTTAATTTGCAGATGAAATCGACATCCTAGGCTATGGCAGTGGTCAGAGTGACACAGATGACCACAGTAGCATCGAGAGTAGTGGCAGCGATTATTATACTAATACAAAACACCTAGGTTACACCACCTCACCCTTTGAGTCCCTATGAAAATGACAGGCGCCTTGGTTGACTGTCCCAGGAGATTGTTATACAGTTAACCAGGCTAAATTGTTGCTAGCTGGTAATGGTTGGATGTGTTATAATTTGTGGGTGAAAGAATATCGTAACAATTTTGTTGTATATCTGTGTATGAAAGGAAGTGAAAAAGTGTCCAGTTTTTGTGCACAGATCTGTTCAGAAAATTTGCTGCATGTTGACAGAAACATGATGACTGCAGTGGAAAGCAAATTTTTTTGAGAGGATGTTGTGTGTCATCGTTTTATCTGTTGTTAATGTATTATCAAATGTAATTTTTAAATATCTCATTTTTGTGAAGTTTATAAAACATGAAAAAATACCAGTCTCCAGGAAAATGGTAGAAACTGGAAGTATTAGCAAACAAGTTCTCTAGACTGTACATTGCAAAGCAATTAAAAAAAACCTTAATTAAATTCAACACTTCAACTTCTGTGAAGCATCATTTGGATTCTTTCAAAATTAAGGGTGCATTGTACAAACATTTCTGTATTGCAAAAAATAGATAAGTTTTAAATGTTTCATTCCAGTAATTTAAGAATTGGTCTTTAAACCAACGTATTTGGTGAAAGCAAAATGACATGAAAAAAGGCAGCATATCTTGATTCTTAACAAGGATTCATTGAAATATATTCTTTGAAGTTCTAAATGGATAGTTTATTTCCATAGAGAAAATGATAATGAGTGAAAGAGAGAATTGTTTTTGGATTTTGCATGATTTTGTTGTTGACAGCTGATTGAAAAAGAGACATGGGATTTTTTGTGAACGCTACAGATAACTTATCTGTCATCTGTAAAGATAATTTTAAAAACAAAATCATTAGTTGGGTGTAAAAATCCCTGTGTTGCCATCTTTAAAAGATAATAGAAATTAGCCAAACTTATTGTTTTCAGCAAATGTTAAAGAATAATTGTAAATATTTTTTTAGCATCAGCAGTGCTTGCTTTGTGATCATAGGAATTTCAACAATACTCATTTTCAGAAATGCCATTGACTTGTCAAGAAATTACTTTAATAGTGATGTGTACAAATGGGAACTTGAACTGCAAAGGAAAAGAAAACATGGAAATTGGGATAATAACAACTACTATATTCAACTGTGGAGTTAAAAATCATTACAATCTACAAAATATATGAATTTCTTTTTCTACATTTAAGTTACCAAAGAAAAATTAATGAAAGATGTTCTCTCATTTGATATCATGTTTGATGAATGGTGGATGACCTATAAGGATACTATGTACGATAGCATCATGCTTTCGAGTTGGTGTGAATTAAAGTCATTTTAAGGGCTATTTTAAGACTCTACATGGCAGCTCCTACAAGTAAGGATTACAAAAGATGTGTATTTTGGTAAATAATCTTCTGCTTTGGAGTTTTTAGAGTTCCTGGTTTCTTTCATTTTCACACTATAGTGAGCCGCGAGTTAAGTGTATGACAATGGAAGAAAGATGTCTCAAAAACTAGGCTGTTAAGAAGAATTTATCATTACCAATTTTTGAAAGAAATGGATTGAGCGTTAAGTTACAGCACTCTTATTGTGCTTAGAGCTTGTGAAAAAGTGCTTGAATTTGCTAACTTGTGAATTTTTACCGTTTTTTTGGGGGGGAGAGACAGTGAATTGAATTCGCAAAACAGAAAGACCAGGAATGTATATACTGATCTCAGAAATATTTTACGTTGTATTAAATCTGGTATTAATTATTATGTGCAATCCACACTGTTCCTAGGCCAGGGGTCAGTTTGATGATTTTAATTTCACTGATATGACTTGGAAAACTTTTAATTTAAAGGTGGGGAAAATCTGTACATTGGGCGGTACAAAACTTGTGACTTCTTTTCTCTTTTTGTTCGTCTTCTAGCAACTTGTTGGGACATGTATAGCACAATGTATGACCTGTTTTTATGTCGTGCAAGCTGCCAAAAGTTATCTCATCATTTCTGCATGTTACTGGATATTTAATTAAGATTTCCCCTCTCCTATTGTTAGACTATGTTCATGTGTTTATTTAATCAATCCTGTCGTAGGACCAATATATTTATTATAAGAAAAAAATAATATATAGTATGTTAATTATTTGTCCTTTGTATAATGCATAATGTCTTCTTCACAACTTTCCTTTAGAGAAATTGTTGCGAGACATACCCAGGTTTGCCCTCAAGGACTTGTTTTGGAAATAGAGTGATGGAAGAAAATTTCTGTTGAAACTAAAGACTTGCATCTTTAAAATATAGATTGAGCCGTCCTTTTATATCAGAAATATTTCCCTGTCATATCTTAGTGCCTTGTTTCACAACTTGACAACAATGTATTGACACGAGTGAATTGATGCTTATCGAGTGAAAAATGCTGAAATCTAGAATCACTTGATGTATCATGTTTTTGAAAATGCATAAGTGATATGTAATTGATGCTTTAAAAAAAATCTTAATTTCAATGAAGTTCTTCAAAACTTGTCCTTGACTGCCAATCTTAACTGAGACGGGAAAAGAAACACAAAGTGAAGCAGCTATGTTTTCCTACGGATAACACTTTTGTGTGAAAACGAAACTATTTGTGTTTCAGTTAACATGGGTAATTTTATTGCATTATAGTTTAGCTACATCTGTGATATGTACGGAAAAGTGCAAAAAAATTGATATTATTGGTCAATTGCTGACAGAAGTTCATGTTCTACTTAAGGTGGGAAAATACCCACCTGTCTTGGATAAAATTTTGAAAATTAAGATCAAAATCTGTTTTTAATTTAATTAACATTGCCCTCTGGCTTGCTTGATCTGATTTATAAAATTGTCGATCAAAAAAAGTTTTTATGTTGGTATTGTATATTATGTGATTGTGTTTTCTTGGGCAAACATTTCTGATTTGATGAATCTGTTTCATGGGAATTTTTACGGATGCTATCTGTGGAGTTAAATATCTCTAACACAGGGTGATGTTTTTTTTTTTGTGAGTGATAGTAATTGTGCTATTCTTCTGTCATTCAGTGAAAATGTGATTTTATATAACATCAATGTTTCCCGGTGTATTCACTGTGAACATAGAAAATAACTTTATAGATTGTCTAATTGGTGCATTAAAAGTCACGCAAGATTCTATAACTGGTCTAAATACAAGGAACTTTTGTACAAACAATATGCAAAGCATAATCGTGTGAAAGAGTAGCGCAGTTGTAACATCTAATGTGTCGTCAGGACAAAGTAATTACACCTGTATTATCATTCAAAAGAAATAGTCACCAGCACATAAGTTTGAAACTTACATAACACTAAATTAAAAGGTTCAGATGATTCTAAATAGGCCCAAATTATATTTTGTTGTATATTTTTAAAACTAATTCATGTATGTTACAGTGCAGAATGAGCCAATAAGCTTGTGAATATTTTCCTGAACGTTTTTGTCACTTTTCCTAAAGCACAGAAAAAGTGACCAGCAACACTTGTAATTAACAAAAGTTTGTGTAAATGCAATTTTTAACTGTTGTTAAATGGAAGATATTTATGACAATGAAAAGTTAGTGAGACTTTTTCCTGTTTTTAATATTTTTGCATGAATGTTGTTGTAAGAGGAACAAATGGTGAAATGTTAAACCAAAATTAAAAAAAAAAAATTGAAGTATATATTGGCATGTGATAAGTGTCCTCAATGTAGAAGTAGGATACAGTCCACTATCCAGCGTGAGAGATGTCAGATGATGATGATGCTATACAAAGGTTAGAGTACTCACCTAGACTGTAAATCTGTCTTCAAAAGTATTGTTTCACTGTTCTCCATTGAGAATAAAGTGTAATGAATATTTTATTTCATGTTTCTTGTGATGTTTATTTGCTGGCAATGCTGGCTCTGAAATTTCTACCTTGGCAAGAGTTTCATTAACAACATGTTTTTCCAAAAAATAGGTATACCTCATCCACATGGGGTTCTTCTGGATGGATGATAAACTTAATTGGTGTTTTATGGAGAAAATGTGAAACACTGGCTGCTTTCATAAATGATGAAACTACCATTCTACTAATTGAACTACCAACTGACTCGCATTTTATAATGATAATGCATAAACACTGACTGCTTCAATTGGAATGTTAAGAAAAGACATCAAGCACTGATAATATTGAATACTGACAATAAAGAACGTGGAAGAAGTGACATTTAAATACAGCTACCAAGTGAATTATGGATTTTGCTTTCTTTATTAGAAGAGAAGTATGAAAAAGCTGCTGTTATCAAGTACACAGTTAAAGTATTCAATGACCTTCAACTTTAGCTTTCAATTTTGAAGAGAAATGTGAAACTGCTGGCGTTATTGAGCACTGCTACTGTTCAAAGTTTGAAGAATTTCACTTCCATTTTATGAAGAGATATGGTAACAATGAATCACATTTTATGAAGAGAAGTATAAAACATTGGTGTCATTTAAGATTTGAGTAGATATTTTTGAAGAACAATGGGAAGCACAAATTACTTCCATTAAAAATGAATGTGGCAGAAGCTTTAATAAGTCTTATAAATTGATGGTGAACTTAACTTTCATTTTTTGAAGAGAAAATATGAAACACTGACTTCTTCCTGAAAGGCTGATGATGACCACTGTCTGCTTTCATATAAGATGTGGCTTGATTTGACTTGCATTTTACTAGCTAACTTTGTCCGAGGGACCACATTTGGTCAGATGGAGCCTTGAGGAAAAGGATTCCATTTTGTAAATGATGGGGCTTGGCACCGGAGACTTGAGGCAAATATATGAATGGCAAGTTTTTGTCCAAAAATGGGGTGAAGCATCCTTGTGAGGAGATCGTTTTGTATAAATGGTGGATGTTGACACTTTCAGATCCCAATCGGCAGAAGGATGAGGCCAAATAGGCGAACTGAAGTGATTTCTTTAAAATCCTTCTGTAGAAATGCCCGGATTCAGTCCAAATTTGGTCTGATGCACTCTTCTACGAAGTGAAATCAGCTTTAATAAATGGTGGATTCCAGTCTGCTTGGATGGGGCACAAGAGGGAAAATTCTTTAAAATCCTTACTCTGTAGGAATAGCAGGATTATGTGAGTTGAAACATTCGTGAATGAAAGGAAATCAGTTTGATATGAATGGCGGATCTCGACACCCTGGGGCAGGAGTGACGGGCCCATATGGGGAAATAAAGCATTATTTCTTTAAATCCTTCTGTAAGAAAGACAGGATTGTGTCAAATTTTCATCTTATTTGCAAACAGTTGACGCTACCGCGAACAGTTCTTCGTTACGATCTCAGATATAACGGTTTACCAGCAATTTGCTTGGGGAACGTATACCTGTATTGTTACAGCATTGTCATTTCCATACATTTTTTATAACCGACATTTTAACGAGACAAAACAAGTCGATGTAATTTTGAAGTCATAAATCGACACACACCCCTGCCGAAAATGACTAAGAAAGCAAAAACATATACACGCCCAATTTCCGATGCAATATTTCATTTGGCGGCCGAAACTTACTTTCTGTACATTGTCCTAGTTGACAAAGAAGTCAGTGAAACAATGTCAAGGTCAATCGGATCATCACAATAGAAGTAAAACAGTGTACTCGATTTTATTGTCAACAGTACATATGAGAGACTTGTAATTCCTCTTTGGCTTTGAATCCCCGTCGTCATCGCACTGAGTCATAGTAGGTATGTATTGAGGACATAACTGGTGTCATCAATTATGTACTTATGAAACATATTGAGTCACGTATTAGGAAACATCACATGATACTATGGTCAATATTACCTAGGTACTGGTCAGTCCGGTTGATGAGCAGTCGATGTCAAATATGACCTGACAGTCTAGCACGCGACATTATCCTTTGACCAAATAATGTGAAAACAAGTAAGACTTTGTCTAAATATTTGCAACCCCACACCATCGGTCTTTAATGGGGCTCACGTGGCCCTTAAGGATTTAACAGCTGTAGCGGGACACAAACAACACACGCGTGCAGACGGTAAACCATGAATTCATGGAATAATAAACAAACCCTCATCAACTTCAAATTTGATTTTGAATTAGATGCTTTTCATCAAATCACCTTCAGGCCAGTGACTGCCCTTTCCCCTGGTCAGTGATTGTCCCCAGTGGATCGATTTCAAGGTCCGATTTGTCCCTTAAAAGGCGGACGTTTGGGGTCGTATTGCGGCTGCCCTACGTGACAATTTGGAGCACCTGGCCCATATGGCATAGCCGAATCCGACAACAAAGAAGGATTCCTCACCAGTCTAACGGGGTAATACTTAACAGTACCAACTGATATTTTGATCACCGGTTACAACTTTCTATACAACTTCAACGTTTTTGTTCGTGAATTTAAAAACCAAATTGAAAACTTGTTTAACAATTCGTTGTATATGTGATTATCCACGACATTTTGCATTTGTTAAAAAAGAGAGAAAAAATCAACAGGGACTATTTACAGACTGTGCCTTTGTTTATTGTCCTGGTTTCGGTATTCGCGCGCGTACTTTTGTACTAGACCTGTGAAGCGGTAATGACCCAGAACAAAGCAGCTTCGCGCCTAATTAACTCAATCATATACAAGATAAAAAGGAAACGATATAATGTAGATCCATAATTTGTATTGAACATAAGGAGGGTATATTCCACGACTCAAAAGGGTATTCCTCTTATCTATCTATTTGTTGCACCTTTAAATCATATTATCGGTTTCAGGTTTCATTTCCACGAAGATAACACAAATAACTGTATGGTGTTAAAGGCCCTTATCAAATTCAGTTATATCAATGAAGTGCTTGCCAATCGTGCTCGTGTTTTACCTTCAGTTCCGATTTTAAATAATTAAGTCGTAGAACTAAGGAGATTGATCCATGTGACGTCGGTTTTTTAAGCATCTGTATATCTGTTTAGAGAAACCTAGTTCTATTTCCATTTGCTATTTAGATTTTTCCGCAGGAGGGAGAGAGGGGTTGGGGGTTAGACGTATAGGAGAGAGAGAGAGAGAGAGAGAGAGAGAGAGAGAGAGAGAGAGAGAGAGAGAGAGAGAGAGAGAGAGAGAGGTACAAATGATTTTCAATCATTTTCTTCTATACAGAACCCAGGATACGTATCCAAATGTTTTGATTTAAATTGGATTGAGACGGGTTTTTTTTTGGCATCAAAAGTGATCAAGGTTAATATCCCGAATTATACTAGTACCTTAGTCATACCAATGCCACTAAACACATGTCTGTGGTGATTACATGTTACAGGACTTTTCACAACAAAAGGACACTGACTTACATACTGAATCATGTCTAGCAATGAGACAAGTCCCATTGACTCTCTGCCAAAATAGAAATGTGATGGAAAAACCAACAGAATACAAAATATAAAGCCGGTTTGTACAAGCGCCTGTAGTAAAGTTCCGGCTGGATAATCAAACGAAAGAAGCAATATGTATTTTTTAAAAAATGCATTAAGAGTTCTCCATCCATTGTGACGTCTCTCGGGACAAAATAGTGCTGTCAACTTAAAGACTCGGTAATCAGATTTCGTTGTATTGGTAACATGTTCTTGTAAGTGATGACCTCGTCACGTGACACCTGGGCAATGACACAAAGACCGAGATCGCTTTGTCACGGCATATCATATGGCCATATATATATTGTAATACTTTGTGTTTATTATCTTATTGTAAATCCTAAGTAAGTCACAATGTACTGGAGACGCCAAATCTTGACCGAGGCAAAACTGTTGTTCCCAATCATAGACTTGTTTGACAGGTAATTGGCCCCTGCCCCAATTCACCGCTGAATGTTTGGAGAAACTTCTATTACGTTGCTGTTTCGAGGCAATAAAACGACCAAATGATACAGATTAAGAGCTTTTTTGCAACATGTAGAACTTCAATCTTACACAACCTTTTAAGCATTTTTTCTACGTTTTCGGCGCTGTGTCAATGTAATCTGTCAGTTGCCCTTCTTTTTGGCGTTGTGTCCGTCTGATTTATCAAGACAATTTCGGACGAAATGTATTGAAGACGCATTGACAATACAGTGTGCTGTGGGAGACACAGTAGGCGGAAGTCGGGCTTCGTTAGCATTGTAACAGTAGTCCATCAAACTGTCACTGCCGTCGTTAGCATCGACATTTGATTAATATTCTGATGTATCATGTCGACTTCAGCTCGTAAAACACGGGCGATCACACGTCTTAGCCTACACTAAACGTCCTGTTAGCTCTCTCCACGACACACCATTTAACAAGCAACTGGTAAAACCAGACATATAATAAGGCCAACATTGTGTATTATATTTATTACAACTATCAAGTGTTCGAAAACAAGCCGAGAGTGATTTTAAAATGTGTGAACTGTTAGGGGGTAAAAGAACAGAAAAATGTGTACATCACGTTAATAAACTGAACTACAAATTAGCTCCCATACTGTACACTGGACTTTAAAAAGCATGCATAAATCCAATACCATTATTTTGACGTTGTTTAAAGAAACCAAATATTATAGAAATGAGTTATGTAATGCTTGTAAACAAAGCAATCAATACTTATTATCTGAGTGTACGTATTTTTGTCATCGACAAAAGTACTACAAACAGGGAGACAAATATACTTTATACGTCCAGGGTAAACATGAGAGCTGTTTACTACAAAATACAACAATGCGTTCGTATATTATTTCAAAAAACAACATCTGGAGACACAATTAATTCATCCTTTTATCGTTTAATCGATTGTGAAAAAGTCGTATCCCACGAGTTATACCTGCTCCGTGTCTATGTGTATCGTGATAATCTGGAATACAGATCAGCTCGCCCTGAAATGTGAC